AAAATGGCAGTTCACCAACGTGTCTTTGTTTCCCTTCCTTTTGTATCTATAACAAGCCTATGCCAGCCATACATACCATAAAACTATCAAGACACGACTGTAGACGCCTACACTGATATGGTGAAACGTGCAGACGAAGGTTTTACAGAATAGGATATGGTGTTACAGCACATAAAACTTTTATATTTAGTCCTCTTGCTAATCCACTTATGTATTTCCCATACTTGATTATGTTTATACATAACGTACACAGATCATGCAGTTCGGTGGACTGCCTCTATTACGCCTCTTAAGAAAGTCTATTATTTGGAAGGTAATGCTAAATGGTTTCCGGTCTTTTGCAGCTGCGTCTGTCTAACTTGACGCAACTCTCTCCAGCCCGCCGTCGTCAGCAGCTCTCACGTCAATCATCCACATTGGGAATTCACTGAGCGCCAGCTGGAGAGCAGCGGCACGAATTTACTACAATTACAACAAAAGTACACTACAAATAAACAGAGATACATACGGACAAAAGGTTAACCCCTTTATTGCATGGTGCTGCCATATGGCGACAATTAGCCTAATTAAATGGCAGTAATATAGAATTCATGTATTACTGTTTAGTGGGCTATAGCCATAATCTCAGCCATGTCTCTATGGTAGTTGCCCCTTGCACATTTAAAACGCAGAGTGCACTTCGCACACATTTGTCCAGGTACCACGCAGCTACAGCCAAATATCATCTCCACTTTTAAGTGTTTAGTTTGTGATGCTAGTTGTTCTACTGAGAAGGACTTCTTTCAGCATATTGGATCTGAAAGGCCATGAAACTGTCTTTTGTGTATTTGAAGGGTGCAATTTCCGGACAAATATTTACAATACATTTCTGAAACACAAAAGCAGAAGACACCAACCTTATTCTTTGAGTGATTTTAAGGAAGCTGTGTATGAGAGACACTATAATCAGACAGCCGACCTCTCTGATATACCAGAGGTCAGTGCTGATGAGGGAACAAGTTTAGATTGTGATCCCGAATGTGCATCATACCTAGTTCTGAAAAGAATTTGCTTGCTTCTGCTGAAGCTAGAGACCATCTGTAATGCGTCTGTGAGGTGCATTGATGCTTTGGTTGAAGACCTTCACTTCATTTCATCTTCAGCATCTGTAGCTGTTGTTAGAAATACACTTGATTCAACATTGAGATTAAATAAATGCACTGTAGACCAGGCCATCATAACTGACTTGTCAGAACAACTGTGCAACTTCCATCCCATTAGTACAGCACTAGGAGCAGGTGGTAGTTCAGCTTTTAAGAGAAGAAGGTATTTTAAGGAGCATTTCTAGTGTGTTGACCCTGTTGAATATATTGTTGATTTTCAAAAGAACAAGACCTTTCAGTATGTGCCCATTCTCAAAACTTTGCAGGAAATTGTGAAGAATAAAGACATTGTAGAGGGAATCTTATCCAGGTGTTCAAACAGCACTGGATATATTAAGTCAATTTTTGATGGCAAATTTTACAAGCAAAATTATTTTTATGCTGGAGAGGAAACACGACTCTCAATAATCCTTTATGTAGATGATTTTGAGGTGTGTAACCCACTAGGGACTTCATGGAAAAAACACAAAATTACAGCCATTTATTGGGTTTTGGCAAATTTGGGATCTGAGTTGCAATCTGAATTAACATCAATAAACCTAGCTTTACTTTGCAAAGCTGTTGATGTCAAACAGTTTGAATACAAAGTAGTTTTGGAACCACTATTGAAAGATCTTTGCACTCTAGAACAGGAAGGGGTTTTAATTCCCAGTGCTGGAAAAAGTATTAAAGGAACAGTACACTGTGTTGCAGCTGATAATCTTGGTGCACATTAGATCAGTGGACTAGTTGAAAGTTTCCCAGGGCCATACACATGTAGGTTTTGTCTTGGACATTCTTCCAAGTACCAGACACTTGAAGTGCGAGGTGGAGCTTTTCCACCTCGTACAAAGGAGGACCATAATTTGCATGTACAAACTGTTAAAGAAAATCCCAGTTTAACACATTTCTTTGGAGTAAAGCGGTCATGTCCACTGACTGACAAATTGACTCACTTTCACTTTGTTTCTGGGTACCCACCAGATGTACTTCATGATATCTTTGAAGGGATTGTTCCAAGAGAACTGGCATTGTGTATTCAGGTTTTCACTAAGAAGAAGTACTTTAATTTAACTCAACTTAATGAGTTAATTACATGTTTCCCCTATAAGGGATCAGACAAAACCAATAGCCCTCAGGAAATCCCTCAAACATACACAAGTCGTAAATCTATAGGGGGAAACGCTCATGAAAACTGGGCCCTAATATGGTTGTTGCCACTCATTATTGGTTCACTGATACCCGAGGGTGATTCTGCTTGGCAGGTTCTTCTGACTTTAAAAGACATAGTTGAATTGGTGGTTGCCCCTGTTCATACACTTGAGACAATTGCATACCTGGACTTCAAAATATCTGAACATCGTGACAGATTTTTGGCAGTTTTTCCAGAAGAGAGACTGATACCCAAGCACCATTTTTTGGAACACTACCCTACATTGATCGAAGAATATGGGCCTCTGGTTGGTGTATGGACAATGCGCTTTGAAGCGAAACACAGCTTTTTTAAGCAAGTTGTGAGGCACACTAACAATTTCAGGAATGTCTTGTTGACTCTTTCGACACGACACCAGATGATGATGGCATACCACCTGCAAACAGATGGTGGAAAGCAGGCAATATGTGTTGCTAAAATATATGAGGTGCCTTTAAATGTGTTGCATCCAGACATACAGGAAACCTTAAGAGATACATCACCACTTATGTCTACTGTGTTGTTAGCCAAGACTGTCACCTGTTATGGAACAAGGTACAATGTTGGGATGATCCTTTCCTATGGCTCTACAGGTGGACTTCCTGATTTTGCTGAGATTATTCAGATTGCTATTTTGGACAACTGTGTACACTTCATTGTAAAGTTACTTGCTGCCTGGTATGAAGAGCATCTAAGGTCTTTTCAGTTGGAGGACACTGGTAAAATGGCACTTTGGGAGCAGCAGAAACTTGGTGATGTCTACCCCTTGGCTGCATACAGTGTGGGAGGAAAACGCTTGGTTACACTCAAACATCACATCTGTTGTTCGGTTTAGGTAAATGACATTATATTGAACTTTACATCTGTACATGCATCATGTTATCTGTATTCTGGTCCATGTAACTGGGATTTTAATTTCTTTTGAGCAATTTCATGACAGTTCTAATTATGGCCTACATATATATTGTTAGGATACTGTAATTCAAGTGTTCCACTAATAATTATTAACTTGAATTAAAAAGTTAAATGATTTGGGAATATTAAATACATTTTATTTTCATATATGAATGGTTAATAATTTGATGTCAAAATGGAATGCAAAAATACTTTTAAAAAGACTCACTATTTTTTTCAACTTTTAATTCATAAAACTGAAAGTGGTCCAACACATATGATAGCAGCATTAATTTATATTAGATATATTACTAATGACATACATGGCAATACACAAAAAATTAGCACAGTCTATTTAGTGATTTTTAATTTTAGGAAACATAAAAATTATTAAAATCGTGTATTTCGTGTCATAATATAATATTCTCTGTTTTTTTTTTTTTTTCTTCTCTGGCTCTTCATTCATTATTATAGAAGTTGGTCCTTCCATCAGGAATCCCACTGACTGTGGAGGAGCTGCAAACTACTGTAAAAGAGAACTTTGGAATTTCTGAGGAGTTCAGTTTTCAGTATTTGGACTCAGAATTTGAAGATTACTTCACTCTGCATAAAACTGACCAAATTAAACACAAAGACACGATAAAGGTTGTCTATGCTGCCTCAATTATTCTTAACTTGCAGCAAGTTGAGGAAAGTTTGGACATTTCTTTTGGTCGACAGTCAATAGTCTGTGACTCAGCATTAAATGTAGAGTCCTCTGCTGGAACATCATCTTCACTGGACACCATTATCCTGCCGAGACAGAGAAGCACTGCTGAACGATGTCAGCCATGGCCAAAGCAGTTCCCCATTCCACAGTTTGCATATGAGACTGAGATGTACCTTGAAAGAGCCGATGAAGACTACAGAAAGAATGGAACACTTCTGACTGCCTCAAAGGTCAAGACAGACATATTGGAGAAGCTGGCTGAAACTATATATATTTATACAGCTTATCCGTCAAGTGCACAGATATGTGATGTTGCTGAGGCACTTGTCAAGAAATATCCTTGTCTGAAGGAACGTGGCTCCTTCTCAGGTTACTATGGCTGGCAACAAAGCCTCAAACACAAGATGGCAAATTAGCGCACCAAACTCAGAGGCTACGGTGTTCCTGAGGTGATGTGCAATGCCTTGAAGCGCAAGAGCCCTGCAGACCAGAAATCTGCAAAGAATGTGAAAAAGCCTCGAAAGGCAGAAATAAACTACCTCCCACCCTACCCAGCAGGAGAGGATGAGGAAAGTCAAGAACAGGAAAGGATTCAGTTGATAACTGAAGTAAGGAAAAGAGACAACAACAAATTGGTCAAAGAGAAGATGGCCAAAACCTTTGCACACCGAAGAAATGAAATCGTTAACCAATCACCCACCACAGAGGACATAAAAGCCAGATGGCTCTATTTGAGGCATCTAATGTGAGTTATAAGTGTATGGTAATCGGAAACATTCCTTTGCAATTGTGAGTGGTCAACTATTTGATACAAAATATGCTAAGTTACTGTCATCTCATAAATCACGTTTTCAGGTATTTTCAAGATCAAATATGGTTTACTGGTTACATCATTTGTTTTATAGATCCAGGATGAGTTTCACAGAATCACAATGGTGCACCTGGAATCAAAGTACATGTCCAAGCTGGATGAATACTCTCCCAGGCTTCTGAACCTCTTCCACTCAAAGGGTGTGGTCAGACTTTTCTGAGTGTAGTGAAAAGAGGGGCTTTTGATTTGATAGTACAAATACACAACACATCACATGACCAGGAAATCCTCTATGTTATTAATTTTCCCATCGACAAGTGAAACTAAAAAAAATCAGGAACTGAGGAAAAGTGGACTAATTCGTCAGTATCTGGGTAAAATTCCGTCAAGAAAACAGCTGAAATACTCTCTGAAGTAAGTTACCAGTTTGAGTTTCATCATTGAAATCAGTTTATATGTGATAGTCATTTTGTAAAATAGTAAAAATGTATTCGTTTCCATATGAAAAATATAGGCCTATACGAATTATGACTGCTGTATATGGTATGCATTCAGCCTATAGAGCAGTCAATCCGGGTACTTGGCCTTGCCTCAAGCCCCGGGCCTTTTGGGTGTAAACAGTCCCACTAATGTGACTGGCGGTAAATGTAAATTTCGAGGTTTTTGCCAATTTAATACCATAAATGAGAATAGCGTGTTGCTTTTTAGCTATTATGAGCCACACTCCTATGGCCAACAAGGCAAACAGTTGTGTTGTGTCGTTACCGATCAACCATCAACGTCGTTATATAGAACAAATACAGAAATAGGGACTGCCTTTATATACTGTCAATGGTCTGCCCCCGTCAAAGTGGACGGACCGGACATATACAGCTGCCTTACTGAAGCTCATATTTCTGACATGTGACATTGTTTCTGTCTTTATTTTTCTGTTTTGGTCGCCTGTCCAACGTTACTATAAACTAACTGCATCGCTGTGCCGAAGCGAAACCTCCGTTTGTGTTTATTAGTCGACCTTTTATTACGAGCCGACAGGAGAAGAAAACAGAGAAATAAGAAGGCAGGTCAGCACAGTTTATGTGAAATATAAAAGTTACAATACCCTCTGCTCCAGACTGTCAAACCAAACTCCATTTCAAAAGCGTGTGCTTTATGGTAGGGCTATAGTTTTTCACAGTAAAACTTGAAATACACCACCACCAAGAAGACTAATTCACTTCAATCTACAATTACAATCGGCACACATGTTTTTATTCAGTAACATCAGCAACTAACCTGTGATAAAGTGTTTGCCACAGACGGACATATAGCTACTGTGGGTTCGGTTCCCACAGTTTACCACTTTTGTTCTCTTTGCGGATTGCCTAAAGCCACAGATATTTTTTTTTATCGCCCTTCGTTGATTAGTTAAGTAAAGACAACTGTAAACTGTTTGTTTTTACTGTTTGATGAGCAAAAAGCTCCGCAGCAGCTATTAGGCATGGTACCACTACGCACTTTTACTGCGCTTGTTTCACCCTGAAGGGGGCGTGGTCGTTTTGAGGACAAGAAAGTGACGTATGGTTGCTCATAAGTATAAGAAAATATGTGTGGCACAAAGAGGCTATAATGGTAAACTGAGGGAGACAGTGTTTACAACTTTTGATTGCTTTTAAAAGGGTAAAAACCCTAATTTGTGTCTATATTTTGTAACTTCAGACATTTTGTTACAGGCATTTATTATCTGGATTACAAATTACACCACTGGAATTAATTGTTATTACAAAAGGAATTGCAATATCCCACCGAAATAATATGTTGGTCAATATATTTATGTTTTACAGGTTGCAAATACACTGTGATATATAGTCCAGATAGTACATTAATTGGACTGTAGGCAGTATTTTGTAATGATGTCCCAAAAACATTCCAAAAAACAATTAAACTAATATTATTTTACATTTTTTTAAACATTGGCTTATGCATTTCACTAATTCTATGTTGAATTTGTTTAGTTTTAGTTTTTCATTAAAATAATTTTCATGTTCATGTTTAAATAATTCATTAAGTAGAGGGTTAATATGAATCAGAACTAAACATATAGACCTAGAGATGTATATTATTAGATATTAGATATTGTGCCATCATTGTTATGATTGTTATTACTATTATTGTTGTTGTTGTTGTTGTTGTTGTAGGCTATGTTTTACATATAAGATAAGAACTTCTGTGATGAAAAATTCAGGTCTTTTTTCCATGTTCTCCCAGCATGCTTTATGCTATCTTGCCCATGCAACGCCTCCCTGCACAACTAAGCTATGATTCTGCACCACGAGAGGGCCCTCATAGACCACTCTACACTACTGCAAACCCACCATTCAATATTGCCCTAGAGCAATAGCTTTTTGCAATAGCGATTACATAGAGATGGACAGCATTATTAATGCTGCATTACTATTGGCCAACAGTAATTATGAAAATAAAAAGAAGAAGAAGCAAAAACAATATTTTGGCTGTGTAGCAGCAAGTAAGACACAAATGGCATCAATATCAATCACACAGACACGAGTTGCCTTTGATGTCTACTCTGTTCTATTGATCTAATATCTGAAAACTAAACAGCAGTGTGAGCAAACACATTAAACTTTTCAACTTAATTAAAGCTACAATCTGTGATGTAAACGCAGTAAACTAAAGGATATCTCTATCACTAAAACTGTCTGGAACATCCTATTATTGATAGTCAGATATTTTTATGTCATACAAAATCTAAATGAGCATTGCTCTGATCTTATTACAGATTTGTCTGCATTGCAAAGGAGTACAAGAGCTATAATCATCTATAGACTGTGCTATTTAGGTATTTTTTTCTGTATCAAACATCCATTAACTTTGAGCTCCTGATAAGGATCTCACAGTCACACACACATCTGCACTTCTCTTTTTGTACTAGCCTACTCATTAATAAGGGACTGCTTACATTCAGACAGTTTGTTCATCACTTCACATTTGAGGACATCACATCCAGAAAGATCTGGACAGAGGAATAAGGAGCCCTGAAGTGCAACTGTTTACTATACCTGACAGGAAAAGGAATAACTGAGATATCACCATGTTAGGTGAATGCATTTAACTTTTTTGTTGTTGTTGCATAGTGTACAGTATACTTATCCATGTATTATTGATTTGATGAAATATTTGTGTCTGATCATTTGATGCCGTAATATATTGCGAACAGTTTTATGTCTGCATGCCATTTAAATACAAATGCTGTAACGCAGTATATTTCATAATTTCTTTGGATTTCCATTTTGATCTTTGTCAAACAATATATTTAAATCCTGAGATTACAGAAAGTGTTTGTGACGATGAAGAATGACTAGTAAGCACTTTGAATTTCATGTGATTTTTCAATGCTGGAATATAGCTATATATATTTTTCTTTTCTTTTTTTTCTTTGTCTGCAGTTTATGGAGAAAATGTGACTATATATGATTATTCACAATATTATGACGAGTCGGAATTATTCGCTCCGTGCAACTCCGTGGATGTGAGGGATTTTGGCAAGGTGTTTCTGCCCACTCTCTATAGTTTGGTTTTCATCCTCGGCTTCATAGGTATGTGGGCTGTGTGTGTGTGTGTGTGTGTGTGTGTGTGTGTGAGAGAGTGAGAGACAGAGAGAGAGAGAGAGAGAGAGAGAGAGAGGCAGGGGTTGTCAAGGACTATCAAAGGTCAAATTTAACACACTCATTTAGATCCGTTTTTTTATAAAAAAGTTAAAAGACAGAAGTTAAGGATTGAATGATCTGTCATAACCACATTTTAGACTAAGTGATAGCTTACGTTTGGAAATAAGATAACATCCCTTATCATTACTTTACATATGCTATGATGGATGATATGATGTTGTTTCCCTCTCGCCAGGTAATGGCTTAGTGGTCTGTGTCCTGGTAAAGTACCGCCACCAGACCAACTTGACAGACATCTGCCTCTTCAACCTGGCTCTGTCCGACCTGCTCTTCGTCATCACGCTGCCTTTCTACGCTAACTACGCTGTGGTCAGCCAATGGCTCTTCGGAGACTTCATGTGCCATCTCGCCGCTGCCTCCCACACCACCGGGTTCTTCAGCAGCATCTTCTTCATGGTGCTCATGACGCTGGACTGCTACGTGGTCATCATGCACGCTCACACGGTGGTTCAGTACCGCACCCTGCGGGCAGGTGTTGCTCTGACCGTGCTGGTCTGGATGCTGAGCTTCAGTGTGTCTCTGCCGGCTATTGTCTTCACAAAGGTGACAAATGAGTCTCACGGGCTGAGTTGTGACTTTGTCCCGGAAAACGATGCATGGAAGCTTTATAACCTCTTCACTACAAATCTGCTGGGTCTTGTGATTCCCTTGCTGGTGATGGTGGTGAGCTACTCCAGGATCATCCCCACTCTGGTGAACATGAGGAGCACAAAGAAGCACCGAGTTGTCAAACTGATCATCTCCATAGTGGTTGTCTTTTTCCTATTCTGGGCCCCATATAACATCTCCCTCTTCTTGAGTTTTCTGAAAGATGAAGAGAAATTGCAAGGTGACCCATGCACCCTGGACTCAAATTTAAAGCTGGCAGTGACAGTGACTGAGGCCTTTGCTTACACTCACTGCTGTCTGAACCCCATCATATACGCCTTTGTGGGACAAAAGTTTATGAAACGAGCCTTGCGGCTGCTGAAGAGCTGGGTGCCTGGAATTTACTTTCCCTCCTCCAGAGATCTGTCAGATAGCTCGGGAGTGATTCCATAATTAAGGATAGGCTACCATGTCCATGGGGTGTATTTATAAATTTGATTACATATTAATTTCAAGCAATGACCATCTTTATATTGGGTGATATTTCTCTTTCGTTTAATACAGAAAGTTAACAAGTTCTTTGATTTATTTTGTAAAAAAAAGCAAATTATATACCGGAATTTGCCGTTTTTGTGCTGTCCGATTTCATACATTTCAAGGTTGCTCTTCAAAATTAACCCTAGAAGACATGTTTGTGTATATTATTTTCAGCATTATTTGTTCAAAATAATCATTAAAACACGATAAAGGTGTTTTTAAAACTATTTGAATCCTTAATAAACATAAAGTTATTCACTTTGTGTGTGTCCGAGAAATCTTTGTCAACTATGTTACCCCTTGATATAACCCCTATAAATCAGCAATGGTTTGCTCCAAATTCAAATAAGCAACAATGTGTGATGCCACGCCCTTTTTGGTGGGAATTCTGAAGACAGTGTAGTAAGATTCAACTCCTCCTCTTCAATATTTCATCAAAATGATTGTCTGCATATGGAGTGGATTCATTGTTCATCAACATTTTCTTGTGTATTTACCTTAGATGTTATAATCAACAAAATGTAACGAAAGTACATAGAAATATGAGTTGATCAAGGTCATATGGTGACATGTTTAAGGTCTGTAGGGCCTAAAATGGAGGAAATGTCTACTATGTTACCTGTCAACTATGTTACCAGGTTTCTCTCTTCTTTTCCTAATGCATCCCTTTAACTGTGTAACTTTGTTGTCAACTGTGTTACATGTGATTTCTGTGCCATAATTTGTTTAAATGTTGGCTGAACTGTAATAAAAATGATTGGGGACATTTTTAGAGAGCAAGGTCTGACATAATAATGTTGAATAACTCTAATTTCAACGTAATGTGGATTAATGTAGAAAAAATAATCATCCTTGATTATACTATCCCACAGAATATCCATTATCCAGCTCACAATTCATATTTTCAAAGCAGTTAGACAAACAACCACAAAAACACTGAAGAATAGACGAAAGAACTTGCAAACAAATGTTTTATCAAATGCTTAGTATTTCATTCATGTCTTCTATGACAACTTTTGTCTGTAACACAGTTGACAAAATAATGGATCAATGTTTATTTTGATTTAAATATTTAAGTAATCGTTTGAGCTTAAGCTTGCCAATTAATGAATTTAGCACATTCCAGTGATATATTATGGAAACAAGTAGAATATTTAGCAAAAAAGCACACTGATTTCTTCACTCATAGGTTGATATGAAATGTACCCCTAATTAGAATGACTCTCATACAGGAAAAGCTCTTTTATGTCCAGGTCCTCATGTTGTTGTAGTATGATTTTGTCTCACTTGTCACTTCATCAGCAGGGGCGATGTAGAGGGGTGGCATGGGGTGGCATTTAATACATTACACTGTCACCCTCAGAATGAGCCGTTTATATCTGGATATATATTTTGATGATGGTTGATGATCTGATGATTTATTTTATATATATATATAATGTTTTATAGACTACATAAGAATGTATAATAGAATTGTACTGTAATTTTTTTTGCTTTCGTAAAATATTCTTATGGGCTTTTGTTCCCTTTAATTGATAGTGACAGCCGTTATACTATGGTGTTTAACAGGGGAGGGCGAAGCAACAGAGTTGCAATTTGCAATTACACTGTTGTGGAAAAATATGGTGAGGAATGACATATAATTGAAAAAGTAAGTAAACTAAGCTTTGTTACATATCTAGCGTACTGTATTAGGTATGGGAGCTCCTCTGAAGTAGTAGTAGTAAAAAAAAGAATTCAGGATCTGTCAGAGCACAAGCAGCCAGTTAGAGTGGAGGCAGCGCTGCCAGGGTGGATGTAAAACACTAGTAATTAAAAAAGGAGGCCAGGCCCAGAGTACCATGCTGTCTGGGTGAGGGTGGTAGATTCCCCCACGTGCTTGGGAGAGAAGGTGTCTGTGTATGGGGAGAGGCCGTGGGCTCCCCTGGGAAAATATGAGTCAGAGAGTGTTTCAAACCAATCTCCCAGGCGGAATGAACAACAGAGAACTTTGTGTGTTAACATACTGAATGTGTATTTTCGCAGTTGTTTGCGTAACACAAGGGAATCTAAGTGATGAGCTGTCTTGGGAATGAGGAAGTAAAACCCTTGTTGCGTTTCCTCTCTCAGGACAGCTGTAATCGCTTGTTTGTTATTTCGTCCTCTCGGACTTGTGCTGCATCCCCCCTTGCCCACTGAAACTAACACACCGTTGAAACTACAAAACTACTATAGACTACTAGTCTGTACAGCAGAGAAATAGTGGACAACACCCACGGGTGAACTGTGCATGTGCACCACTGCTCTGCTCAGGCAGAGAGAGTAATATCACCTCCATGACCTGGAAGGAGCGATCAGCCCTCCGAGGAGTAACGCTCCCCCTGTAGGGATTAAGGGGACCTGACATTGTTTCTACTTTGTTTTTTTTTGGGGGGGGAGCATTTCACCATTGGCTCTGGGCCTGGATGAGAGAATGCAAACTTTATTTGTTACTCTTTTGAACATGGTGGAAGTGCTTGGTGACACTGTGTTACATGCTGCCCCTGACTCTCCTCTCCTCTTGAATGTGAGGGGAGAGAAACTGAGAGGGCCCCTGAACCACAAATCTTCAGTGGAACACTTCTTACCTTCCCCGGGGTGGGGGGTTCAGTTTCTCTCGAGTTGCCCCATGGTCTTGGATTGTCTGACAGATACTGCTGGCTAGTCTGTTTACCAGCTGCCTGTCTCTATGGCCTGGCACCCCCGTTTTCCCTTTACTGCTGCTGCCACATATCTGTCCCTGCGGAGGGTGAGGAGTGTGTTTTCGGGCCAGACAAAAATCAAAGGAGCTTCCTCTTCCTGTTTCCTGAGGGTGCTGCCTCTCATTTTCTCCAGAGCTGGACCAAAAAGAACCTTGGTTTGGTCGTATGCTCAGACCAGAGCGGTTCCACCACAAGGCCCTCTCACCTGCGACTGCAAGCCCCATTTATAGACCGCAGCCTTGTACTGCACCATGTGAGCAGCACAGGGCCAGGTCATTCGCCACACAGATCTCTTCCCAGAGGGCAGGGTTAGGTGACCCTGAGTCCAGCTGACGGCCCATCTCCTATGAGATTCCCACCTGGTATGCAGCCAGCAGTGACACTGCATTCAGAGAGCACATTGACTGTGCTGCATATCTATACATTCTCTGGAAAATGGAGGTGGTGAGGTGCTCCATTTTGTTAGGCAGAGAAGCTGAGCAGTTTGGGTGGAGATGAAAATGATGAGCCTCAAAACACATCCATTATTACAAGCCTGTACGCCTACTTGCCTTATGACAGCACATATCACATCCAACCTCCACACACGCATCAAATCTGGATCAAAACCAAAACATGCCAGTCTGGTTACAAGGAATCAAGTCCACATTAACATGCGCAAAATAACCTCTGAAATACTATAACACCATGTTATAGTGCGTGTCACGCATCTACAGACCAATCAATGACACCACTCACGCATGACCATCATAACTAATAAAAAAAAAAAAAAATCGGCCAGGCTGTCTACAAGAGATCCAATCCTCAGCAACATCAAATACAACACAGTGCTAACAATTAATAATACAGTTTATACAGATTACTGCGTCTTCAGAGCACTCGGCCTCAACTTCATGTTGTTCTTCTGGGGAGTCACTGGGTGGGAGAGGATCCTCTGTTCTGTTCTTTCGCTTGCTAGCCATTTTTAGTATGACTTCTGTCTTTCTTCTGTTTGGCGCACATGGCTAATTTGCATAAGTGCACAGCAGTGCCCTGCCCTCAGGTTCATGGCTGGTGAGGCACTGACTTCATCAGAATCAGATTTGTAAATGTAACCCTCCTACTTGTGACCCCACCCAGGTTACAATGCGGACCGATACCCAGAATAGAATTATACCAGCCCTAGACACCAACCATCTGAGCGTTGACACAATTTTTAAAGGGTTCAAGAAAAGCGGGAGACGTGCATTCAGCTCTCCAATAATATTTATTAAAAATAAATTATACTGGCAAAAGACCTGAAAAAGAAAAGAGAAACCATAAAACTAGTCTAAATTAGTTTATTCCACAATACTAAAATGGTCGAAACAACCAGTATATAAATAGCAAATGGCTTCACCATAACATAAAATACAATAAGATTAAATGATCGCAAGGAATAGGCAGAACAGGGTACTCACCGCGGGGAGACTCTATCACCCAATAGAAATCACTTTGTGTGCACACTGATCACTACAAACACTACAACTTGCACTGCAAGGAAAGTCAAACCTACAAACCAATGACGTGACCACTACCCTTCAAACATACCACACTGCATGCAAGGAGGGGTGCATATCCCATGACTACTCCCCGCAGGTCGTCCCAC